ACGCTAACAACTTGCAGAACATCATGCACACTCTCAATGCCTATCAAACTGACATTAATCTATTCAGAGAAGACATTAAGAGTATGCGATTGGACATCGTGGGATTGACTGACATGGCCTGCGAACAATTCTATCATCTGGACTCCGCCATCGAAGACCTGAAGAAACGCCTTTGAACCGGCTATCAGTGATTTAGTTTATTAATTTTTTTCTCATTAATTTTTTATCATTATTTTCATTTCCAGTTAAATTTATCTTTCGCAACGATTTCATAACATAATTTGAGTTGATGTAATTTCAATTTTTCTTTATGCCATGCACTTTTTATTTCAATTACTTCTTCATTTTTCGCAGCTTATATGATTTTTCTACTTTTTTCTATACACTGTGTGACCATATACTTATGATTACATTATTTTATCTTACGTTCGTATACTACTGTGTTGCAAACGATATATAATATGGTGTGTGTTACTATAAGTGCTACTAAATAAAATAAATTATTATTAATTTATAAATAACGTGAGACAATGTTTCTTTTCTGGGAATTATTCAGCACAACACACCCTCACGGTCGTCACACCCCACTTACGATCGTGACGTGCTCATTTAGCGTGTCACGACCATCACGCCTATGTCACGACCGTGACGACCTCTATTACAGAGATCGTGAGAAACAGAACTGTTTCTCATCGTGTCCACTCTTCTTCTCCATCCATAACCTACCCAAAACATTACCCACTCATTCCAAAACCGCCATAACCTCTCCACTACCCCATTAATCCACCATTACCATCAACCAATTCATTTCAACTGTCCCGTATTTAACCCGAACATCAATCTCCCTCATTCTACCACTCTTCTCCCAAACACCTCACAAAATCCTTCCACCCTCACTCTTCACTCTTGCATGTTATGGATTCCATCATTTTCAGAGAAGGAGAAGTCGGAGTAACCCAGCGAGACCGTTTCGTCCGCTTCCAGAACCGCGGTCTGCAACCCACCCGGTACATTGCCACTGACTGTCTGCAAGAACTCGGTATGCTGTCCAGCGTTCAAAGCCTACTGCAGAAGGTCGGCCTGTGGGACCTCTGTCGTCAGCCACAGCCTACTTTCGAACTTCTGACGCTGGAGTTCCTCAGCTCTTACAGCTACATCACCCCTCCCGGTTCTCAGAGTCAGCTTACCGGCATCGTAACATTCAGACTGCTTGGCCGGGAGTTCAACCTCACACAAACCAGGATTGCTGAGCTGTTAGGTTTCGAGCACGGCACCGAAGCCCACCGTCGCGTGCCCGACAACTTCAGTGAACAAGCATTCACACTGTGGCACGACCTTACCAACACCCGTGCGACCACCTTCCAGAGCCTCAACGCCACACACATCCACAACCCGGCTATCCGCTACTTTCACCGGGTCATCTGCAACACAATCTTTGCTAGAGAGAGCAACCACAAGCTCAACTCAAAGGAGCTTCTGTTTTTATACTGTGCCCTTCATGACGAGCCAATCAACGCTGCCCCCTTTATGCTCTACCACATCCAGGCCATTGCGCACCGAGGCTCATCCCCGTTCTTCATTGGCGGCATTGTCACCACCCTCGCCATTCAGCTGGGGCTTGGTGACGCGCTCGCTGATCTGCCGCACCTCGCCGCCGATTTCCTGACCATGAGCTACTGCCGGTCCGCCCACCTGATCGCGCAGCGAGAGGATGGCAGGTACAGCCCTGTTGTCAATGGCACCGTTTTCCACCACATCACTCTGCCGTCCCGCACACGCATCGACCCAGCAAACCGAGCCAACTGGCTCTTTGCCTTACCAGCTGTTGCGGATCACGCCCCGGTACATGATGATCAGCCAGACGCCCCAGTGGACGAGATGCAGGACGCCATGGATGCAGCTGAGCATGTCCAGGACATCCCCGAGACTTCCACCCGACAGCCCCCTGCTCCCGCCGTCACACTTGAGGACGTCCTACTTGCGATTCATCAGCAGAACCTGATGAACGCAGCACTAGAGCGTCAGCAGAAGGCACAGTATGACGCTTTACTCGGCACTATCGCTGCCAACCAGGAGGCCACTAATGAGCGGTTTGGAGAACTTTTCGGCGAGCTCGAGGCGCTCCGCATCAGCATTACTGCTACCTCCGGCACCGGCTCTGATCCCGACGCGACTCCCTCCCGACGCCGCTCTCGCACCAGAGGCCGAGCCCGCGGTCCTCAGCAGCAGTAGTTTACTTCTATGTTGTTTTTCATTTTTAGTCTTGTACTGTATTTGTACCGCAATTATATCACAACATTGAGGACAATGTCTGATATAGTGTGGGAGAGGTACTTTCCATTTCAGTGTACTTTCAATTCCGTTGTATTCCTTTTAGCAAATCAATGAAATGAGCAAATCTGTGCGTTATTTTCTTTAATATCGAGTTTTCCCCGATTATTAAGCCATACCAGAAAAATCTTTAATTACTCGCATTACCCGACTTACCACCGAATGGTTCGTAATCACGAAGCCGAGAACGATTAAACAAGACCAATACAATCTTGACATCTTCGACCCCCTGCTTAAGAAATTCCATCCCGATCACCATTGCGAGTGCACCTTTAGTTTCAGTTCAAAAGTAACCCCCAGTAGTTTATACTAGCAGTCAGCACCGTCTGAACACAAACCACGTGGGGAGCCGATGAATATAAGCGTTTGATGCCTAATCAATAATGATCCTTCATATCTCGATGCAAAATGAAAAGAAATTGCACCAAAGTACACGGTCGCAGATAAGAAACGAGAAATATGAGAAGGAGTCCGTTTCGAGTTGGTTCAGAGGTACTGGTTCTGAACTCGGTAGGGCGTGCTACGGCTCGATCCCCCACAACCTCCGAATCGGATAAAACATGAAGGGGTACCACACTCGTGTACCAGACCCCGTGCTAAAAAAAGGATCAAAATCGCTAACCGGCTACTCCACTACGTGCGTGCGAAGGCAAAGGGCTTAATGTGACTGCGCTAGAACGAAACCGGGCGAAATAAGATCGAAAAACTCTAGGTGAAATCGTAATGTGATTGCCGATTGTTTCGCTTGACGGGAAGTCGACGACATAGCTTGTTGCTTGTGTCATTAGTGTATCGGTAGTGTTCTATCAAAGTACCGGACTATCCGACAAAACGATCCACCGGACGGTTTGTTATGAGTATGCGCGAATAAAAACTTGTCCGCCGATTTTCAACCGACTATTTGCTTGAGGACAAGCAAAGGTTTAAGTTTGGGGAAGTTTGATGACGAGAAAACGCATCGATTATATCGCTAGATTTCATTGACGTTTTATCGCGCATTCACCGTTTTAACGCTCGATTTCTCGAGTTTTTCTTACTATTTTGCAGGTACATCGTTATGTGAGGCCAAATCATGAATTAAGAAGAAAAGAACGAAAGAAACCACAAGAAATGAAGCAAGACAGAATCCTGCAAAAGAGTCTGCATAATTTGTTACGGCCACGGTCGTTACAAGGGTGTCACGACCGTGACACCTTACTTTGGGACATCACGACCGTGAGGAAGTAGTCACGACCGTGACACTTGAAATCATCAAATAACAAGCGTGAAGACCTTGTCACGCCCGTGACAAGGATATAACTTGATTTTGACTCAGACTACGTCAAGCCACCACTGAAGACCACTCCTCCTAGTAATTCTCCTCAAGGCAGCACGTGAGGACGACTTCTCCCATTTTCTGCTGCCACTTTCCAACATTTTCTCAACCACTCCAGCAAAGCCCAAGAAGCAAAAGACCAAGGCACCAGCCCATTGGAAGCTCTATAAATAGGACCAGCTCAGGAGAACTCATGGGAGACTTCGTTATCCAAATTTCCTGCGGAAGCTCTGCCGAATTACCTTACCACCAGAATTATTATTCCAGCATTTGTTTTACTTTCTGTCTTATTTTATTTGTATCCAAACCAACCGTGTAACAATTTCCAACATTAGGGAATTGTTATACTTTTATTTGTTTCCAGCCTTCAGCATTCGTTTTAATTTTTATTTCCGCCTACTCCAAGCCTTCCGGTCTGTGGAAGAAGGAGTCTACTCAGATATTTGTTAATCAAGTTTTTCAATTATTGCAATTTAATTTATTTATAATGTCTATTTATTTTTCTGCCATTAGTAAGTCAATATTTAACTCTGAGTCTGATTTAACCTCGATGAGTAGCTAAATACCTTAGGGCGGTATGTAGTTATAACCAACTTAACCGGTAAAATATAACCATGGGCTAAAATAATTAATCGCTTAACATTCTGGCTGATGCTTTTTAATTGAATTCGACCTTTTCGTTACGAGAGTAAGAAAAGGGTATTAGGTTGGGTCAAGACCACGAGAGTGTGAGATTTTAACCAGATAGCTAAAGTTAGGCATTTAAATTAAATACAGCGAGAGCGCTTTAAGATAAATTAGAATTATTTAGTTTCCAAAAATTACCTCTAAACACTTATGGGCTAGCGAGAGCAGGCATAGGGCTTTAGGGATAAGATCTGATTCAAGACCACGAGAGTGTGAGTTGAGGGTATTTAAACTAGTAATCTCTACCGAATAGATTAAGTGAACATCTTTATAAGCCGAGGTTAGATTGACCCACCTAAGTTAGTATAATTACATACCGACCGTCTTAGTATTATTTTATTAAAAACTTAAATTTAATTCCGCCTTCAATAGTCTTAGAAAACCAACAACAATCGTGACAACTATTCGCCTTAGCTAAACTAGAAGTTCATCTAGCACTAAGTAACGATAGAATCCCTGTGGATCGATAATCTTAAATATTACTTCGATAGGCTGTGCACTTGCAGTAAGATACCGCTAGACGCATAAGTAGACACGTCTGTAGCCCATCAATTATTTGGAGGCAAAGTAGTTATTTTTGGTGGTGATTTTAGACGAATCCTTCTTATATTTATTAATGCTTCTTATATTTGGGATCAGTGCAAAGTCCTCAAACTTACAAAAAAATATGCGCCTACAAAGTGGGACAACTTCAAATCAAATTGAAAAAGTTCGTATATTTTATGAGTGGATTTTATCAATTGGAGATCGTACCATGGGTGAGCCTAATGATGGTTATGTTGAAATTAATATTCCTGCAGAGTTTTTAATTTCAAATTTTTCAGATCCTATTAAGGCTATTGTTGATAGTACCTATCCCGATCTCATTCATAACTACCATGACCCCAATTTTTTACAAAGTCGTGCTATCTTGGCTTCAACAATTGAAGTTACCGATGAGATTAATCAATATATCACAGATCTTCTTCCAGGTACTATACATGTTGCGAAGTTGTTTTCATGCTAATTTCATTTTTGACTTCATTTTTTATTTGTTGAATCATTTGTCTGTTTTTTTTCTTTCTTTTAGGAGAAGAAAAAGAATACTTTAGTAGTGATTCTATTGATAGATCAACAGCAACCGACTTTGATGCATTTGAGCACTTAACTGCTGAATTTCTAAATGCTCTTAAAACTTCTGGATTGCCTAATCATTCTATAAAGTTGAAAATTGGTGCCACTATTATGTTGATGAGAAACTTAAATCAATCGGAAGGTTTATGCAATGGTACAAGGCTCACAGTTACAAGAGTGACTAATCATGTTATTGAAGCTGGGATTATTTCAGGAAAGAATAGGTAACATCATTTATATTCCAAGAATGTCTTTGTCCCCCTCTCAATCACCGTGGCCATTTAAGTTAGTGAGAAGACAATTTTCCATTATTGTTTCTTTCGCTATGACAATTAACAAATCACAAGGTCAATCGTTAGACGTAGTTGGTTTATACCTGCCAAAGAATGTATTTAGTCATGGTCAGTTGTATGTCGCAATGTCCCGAGTTAAGACAAAACAAGGTCTTAAAATTTTAATTCATGATAAAAATAACTGTACCGCTGCTACTACCACTAATGTTGTATTCAAATAAGTTTTCCACAATATCTAGAAGGTATAACAATCATATTCTTTCTTTGGTTAAGTTTCCATTACGAAAAATGATCCAATTGTTCTCTAATTATTATTTTTAACAGGTCAACATTGTGATATCAACTCCAACAGACACATTATTTTGCAACGTCGGTTACATGACATTTTGTTGTACTACTTCTCTTTTACTATGTATTATTACTTTACTCCTTTTTTGACAACATTACCATTTCATTTAGTTATATTAGTTGTTTCATATTCAATTTCTGTTTTTTTAATTTATATTTCTTTCACTTTAATTGCATTGTTATACATTTAACTCTAATACACATATATTTGTCAAAATTAACTATATATTTATAAATTTATTTTACCCGTGCGAAAGCACATGTTTTCTACTAGTTTTCTCTAAAGGAATTTGATTAGCTTTAGTGATGAAAAAGAACAACATATTTCCTATTTTAAACTTTAAAATTCACAAAACTTTAGTATTTTCTAATTTAAACTTTAAAATTCTTGGGTGAGTAACCGCTTCTCTTCCTCTTCTAACCTTGCAAGCCATTTCAATCCAAGATCACATCCTGCTTTTGCAGCTATCTGAAATTTTTCTTTTGCCATCTCTACGGGATCAATTGCAATACTTTCTTTGCTCTTTCCTCGTTTTTGAGCAACCGGACCTCTCTTCAAACTGAATTTTATTATTGATTCCGGAATTTTTACACCTGAGGCATAATATCCTTTCTTTTATTAGTAAACATCTTAAAGCTGAATGTAATCCACCAACCTTATCCAGACAGAAAACATAAAAATTCTGATTTCTATAATCCTATTCATCTCATTACTTTTAGTTTAAGATAACTTCGTTGAATCATCTCTATTGCTAATAAGTGTTCAAAGTGGCCTGATAATAATAATAATGAGATGGAATTTGATGCATGGGAAAAACTTTTTTACACCAACAATACACATTGATTAAATCCTAAATTAAATGAACACAGGAAGATAAGCTGACCTTTAAGAAGAAGAGATCCATATGCAATAGCTGCCCCAGCATGACCCTACAAATATATAGAATAAAGTTTTAAAACATTATGGAAAAATCTTTAAACAAGCAACTAAGAATTAACCCAGTTCACATTTGTAAATGACATGAAAGCAATAAATCTATTCCCCTTAACTCTAGTAGATTAAGACAAGTTTTTTTTATAATAATCAAACACCTTCATGTGTAAGATTTAAATACTTAAATTGGCTGAACTGACAGATTAGAACATTTTATAAATTATCAAAAGGAAATAATTGAGTAGTCTCTATCTAGGGTAAAATGTAGTCATGAAAAATATATACTTAACTACATTAACACTCTAATCAAAATTCCTCCACCATTTATAATGATTCGTCTGAAGAGTCATCAAGGATCAATAATTATTTCCTCACTGATTACATGATGTGTAATCTTGAGTATAAGCAAGGCCTACAGGCTCCTGGTTCCTGATCAAGTGTTTACCTTTCCAGGTTTCCATGCATTTTGAACCTTGAGTCAAATTCTCATACTAGGACTACTTCCCATTGGACCCATCATATTAGAATACAATACTATATTGTACTTGTGATAAATACAATGATGTGAACCCTGCTTGCGTAGGAGCGAGCAAGAAGGCTCTAAGTGCTGAATCTGTAAAAGAGTAAATGATCTTTCGAACTACTAGGTTTAGAGTTTATATAGACCTGACCCCCCTGGGCCAAGTAACTGCTTAGAGTTGGTTCCACTCCCTACCTGCTCGGCTAGGTCATGGGGAAGGAAGAGTGGTTATTGTGAGGAACCATAACGGTGTGCATTACTTCCTGTCATACGTGGCCTGACATGTCCACAAATGACATGATGTTAAGTAAGTCGGATTGGGCCGGGCGATCCGCGTTCTAGAGGCGCTGGGCCGAGTCGGGCGAGCTAACGTGCTCTCTACGTGGAGCCGCTTTCATTCGCCCCGAATCCTCTCATGGCATCTTTGAGTCGGGTGTGATTTGGGCCAGTCTCTTCTGAATCCCGACCAAAGTTATCCTAGTTCAAATACTTTGTTCAGAGTCGCACCAAGTATAATCAAACAAAACCACACTTAATTCAAGTCACATTAACTTTCAGTAAACCAGTATATGATTTGAAAGAAAAGTTGGACTATATGTGCAACTTTGACAAAATTTTAACTTCTAGGAATCAGTGCATGAGTAATCAATGAAACCCTAGTGTAGTTCATAACTCATGAAAAACTTATTCGTAGCTTTTCATGGAGGTATAAATACTCCAGCCCATGCCAAAGCTTTGTCAGGTGATTTAATGTATGCACTTAAAGAGCAAGTGTAAACTAGATTTCATAACAGCATAACCAAATGACATACAATGTATGTTGAACTGAGTTTAACTCACACCACACAAGAAAACAAATGAATGGACAATTTGTCCATAAATACTAAGAAAAAAATGTTGAAAACCTAACCCTATATGCATGGTTTTTAAAGAAAATTATTTGTTTAACTTTGATTAATTAATATTTTACCTTCTCTGATGCCCTATGGAAACACCACAATGCCGAAGCAATATCTTTCTTAACACAGTCGCCAGTCAAATATACAGCACCCAAAAGGTAAAGAGCATCTGGATGCAACTAGAACATAACACACACCAATAAGGGTTTTGTCGTACATTCTGAAATCATGGCAAGATCCAACTTTCATAGAGAAACATACCTGGTCCACAGCTTTCTCCAAATAATAGAAAGCCTGTTGATCTGAATGGACATCATCATTCTGTCTCCAAAAAACATATATATTTAAAAAAAACAAAAATTCAGGACCTTCTCATTTTTCCTAAAGTATCCAGTTATGAAACATTAAGAGAGGAAAAAAAAACTCAAGGTAGAAGAAGATTACATAGCTAGAAGTACTCTACTCAAGTTCATCTTAGAAGTCAAATATATAATTGTACAAATGTAGTCAGGCAAGAAAAAAAAACACCACTACTAACTAATTCACCATTAAGAACACATAATATCCCAACCAAGCCCACTATTGTCCTCCCCAAGGTCATATACCTCATCTGTTAGCACAACAATATAAAATACAACCTGAATCTACAATAAATAAATCCACAATAGTAATGGATAGTCGCTGTGTCATGTGTGATTTGAGGAGGCAAAGAAGAATTATTCAAGTAATTGACTGAAAATCATGATTCAAGTCATTGACTCAAAATCTTCAAGTTTGGCTATAAAATGTACTAAAACAGTCCTCACAATATAAGGTGTAGGGTAGCCTCACCTCTACTCTTAAATGACAACCCAGTGCATATTGTGCATCAGCATCACCCATATCTGCTGCTTCTACCAATAATGCTGCCGCGCTGTTGCCAAGGAAAAAGGGAAAATATGACTACATATTAGCAGTATTTTCATGTGACTTGAAAAAGAAACAAGTTCAAAAAACTCAGCATAGCATCAGCGGGAAGGTGTAAATCAATGGGAAATTAGAACCATTTAAAAGGAAACGGAAAGAATAGAAAACAATTAAACCACAAAACTAATACAGATGTCATTGATGACAAAAGGAAGAACCAATTGTGCTTTAAACAGCTACTTCATCATATTGCAAATAATGAGATTTATAATATGTTTTGAAGTACTCGAGTTCATGTAATTCTGAAGTTTACTTTTCCGTTCTTGTGGATAGCTACTCAGCTGAGTTCACATCATAAAGAGGACCAACACAGCTTTATAGCTAAGAAGGAACTCCATATAAGGATTTTTAAAATAATAATTAGCGTCATCTATACCATGTTAAAAAAGGAACTCCAAAAATAACTACCAATTTTATGGAACCTTTTTTTCTCTACAAATTTGCCTCAGAGAACACAATTCTTTTCCAAATTTAAATTTCAAAATATGGATTTCAAAACTGAAATAGATAACATAGATATTGTGAAATTAAAAACAAGCAAATCAAATTATACTCACACATATAACTAATGTCCGACTTTGCGCTAGTAATAATAAAAATAGCAAATTACATTGACCTCCCTTGAGATCTATCTAAGCATCATAAACACCTTTAGTTTTTAGATTGACACTAACCTCCCTTATTTTTTTTCCTTTTAAGTGACAAACTCCTCCCCTCTAACTTAACATCGTTAATGCTCTGTTAGAAGAACAAAAAAAAAATCTCATGAGTCCTCCACTTTCACTCAAGCTACAACTCCGGCAAATTATTCCAGAGTATTCATTGCTTTTTGCTGAATTGCATTTTATTTTATTTCAGCCAAGTTGATTTGTATCAAGATAAAAACACATGAATTTGATTTGTTGGTTGATGCCATTTATTTTTCTTCTACATGACGACCCATATCATCGAATTTGATTTAGTGTTTTGTCGAATGCATTTTACCTTTGGTATTTTTTCGCACGTTAATTGTGTTTTTATCTGCTATCACCCAAATTTCATATCCCTAAAATCATACATGAAGATAAATTGTAGAAGATAAACATAAACACCAAACAGAGTAGCACTATATAATGAACTTCGATGAACAGGTGGATGTCCAAAATAGATATCAGAGTAAGGGAAACAAAGAACTTTAAAATTGTTTCATTAGTGAAATATGGAAAAGAAGATGTGTAAATGAGGGAGGTGAGTGAATTTTGGAAACTATAGGGATGTTTAATATTCTAGCATATTTTAAGGGAGGTCAGGATAATTTGCCCACACAAAAAAATGAAAAAGAATAAACTATAGATATGTTCTTGGCATAGTAAATACGCATTTCATTGATGGAAAATAGGTAGAGCATGAAGAAACAAGACATAAGAGAGGATAAAAGTTGACTTACACAGCCTTATTTGCTCCAGGAACATGGTATTTCATATGTAATCTGGACAGCCAATACCTAGCATGAGTATTAGTGTTATCCGCCTCCAAAGCAAGCTCAAAATTCTCCTTTGCTGTCTATTTATGAATCCCAAATAAGCAAGGGTCTATTTATTGTTCTCTCATATAAAATAAAATCTTAAAATAAAGAAGCAAATGGGGGCAATAGATAAAGAAAGCAATGATTACGTTAAGAAGAGGGATGAGACGCCTATCATTGAGCTCACAATAATCAATGACCCTATCAACCTCCTTCAGAGCATTCCAGCCTTTGGCAATGAACTCCATGGCTTTCTTGTTCCTGCTATGCAATCCTCTCTGCATATAGTTTCCACCTTTGATAAGCAAATATGTTGAAATGCAATAATCATCTAGCTATCCAGAGCACCGCATTTATTTAATTTTATTTGAAAAGGCAAATGTTTGTGGTTGGTTTGTTAGGGGAAAGGAGAAATTGTTAGAAACTGAACCCTGAACCTCTTTCTCAATACTCCTTTAGTGTCCCAACTCACATAACCGGGCTACACCTTATGGCACACCGAAGCTTCAAACTGATAATGTGTCTCACACATGTTTGAATCTGACCCCAACATGACAACGACATATGTTCATAGAACATTCAATTACTTCATTTTTTTCCAAGTTATCATCAATGTGTCAGTAAGGTGTTTAACTGTAAAAGTGAAATAACATGCCTGTTGGGTGAATTGGAGACGAGAAGAAGTGGAGGGCTTTGGAATGAACTTGGCCAATAATGCCCTAGACAGCATCTTCTTAAAAACAATGTAATATCAACTGAGATTTCCTGTAAGATAGAAACAACAAAAGCATAAATCCGTCAATACAGATATTTAAAAGAACACAGCACTATAGTGGCGGAGCTTGTGGCCAAAATAAACTACAGAGTCTGACTACTCAACAATATCAAATCAGTTCAATTACAAGTAAACTATCCAGCCCCAAGTCATACAATAACGGTGAAATAACTCAATAGCAACAACATCTATGAACAACAGCAGAAACCAAGTACAGATAGGACATCGATACACAACAACAACAAATCAAATCACGGAAACCCAACAACAGAGAAGAAGAAGAACAACAACCACAGCAACAAGAAGAAGTTAATCGCAATGTAAATGACCTTACTGTTCCTTGAGGGACGAACAGACTCGACAACGGCACGAGGAGCAGATGCTCGCGGATGGGGGTAATGCAACGGCGGCGTAAAAACCAGAGCGGAGAGAGCCGGAGTCGCAGTGTTGCAGCGCAGATGAAGGTGAGGACTGAACCGGCTGCGTGGGAGAGTTTGCTGAATGAGGATGATGAGATGTCGTGGGTTAACAAAAGGAATAGAGATTTGCCTATAGAGATGGAATTGGCAAAAACTGAAAAAAAAACATTTTTTATTTATAATATGGTTTTAATTTTAAAAAAAAACTGGTTTGAATCGGTTTAGAATCGGATTTAAATCATTTTCGGGTTTTGAACTGATTTTTTTCAAACATTGTTTAGTTTTGAAACTAGAACTAATAAAATAGATTAGTGCATAATGTTTGGGTAACCATGCACACCATCCCTATCTTTTAGATCAGATGTAAAATTTTTAAAAAATTTAAAATTCAAAAAATAAGGTACACCATTTTATGAAGAATACATTCATAAATGATAATGGTGCATAAAACAACAATGATAACTCAAAAATATCAATCTCCAATCACATATATTCAATCACAACAATAACCAATCACCAATATTCATAGATTCATTTTTTAATTTTGCCCTTAGATCAACAAATTGATTCATTCACATGACATTTGCATCATCTACATATCATGACATGCATTTTATTTTTTAAAAAGTCAATCAGAATAAAATTTTGATTTTGCAGATAGACCGGTTTAAGCAATTTTCAATCGCGCGCAAAATTAACAGATGAAAGACTTTAAAATCAAGCCAGCAACTGACGATTTTATTGAAATATGTTTCACGTAGTTTAGTTTTGTATGCTCATTTTATTTTTCACATTTGTTTGCATTCGCATTTTGATTAGTTTTAACCTTTTCATTCGGACATTTTTAACTTCAATATTTGATCCGCGAATGTTTGTTTTACTGACCTACATTTCACATAAATTATTTTAATGTATTCATTTTATTTTATTTTGTGCATTTGCACGTTCGATTTTTATTTCGTGTTTTAATCAAAATAATTTAAAATAACTTAATTAATTCAGTTTGATTGTATTTGTTATTGTTAAAAATAATTGTGAATTTTATTTCATCATTTTATAGCTCACTTGATCACTTGAAAATATATAAGGACAATGTGGGCATTTAAATAATTTTACAACCCTAATATGCCTAGTATTTAAGCTCACTAATTAGTCATTTGAGGAAACAATCAACTGCCACTTGCTACAATTCCACATCTCTCTCTCTCTCTCTCTAAAAATACTAAAAAAGAAGATGAAAACAGAAGCATAGTTTCCTCCTTGGAGACCACCTATCATCTATCTCGCTTTGAAAAATCAACATAAGGAAACAAAAGACTAAAAGGAGAGAGAGCCAAGCAAACAGAAGGAAAAAATTTTCTTCGTCAATTTTGTCTGCGAACCACTATCCAAAGCACACCTTCAAACAATTGACCAATTGTGGAGAGAGCATAGTGACAACAATTTTGGATACAGTGTTTAGAAGAAACTATTTAAGTTTATATGGGAGCTCAATGATGATACACTAGAGGTTCCTTTACCTTTGATAAATGCACTCAGAGGAGCATAATTGTTGAGTAATATTTTTAGCCATCCAGGTTTAGATGCAATTCAAGATGAAGTTGAAGTTTCATTTGGTAACACTAGGGGAAATGGAGGATTCAAATGGTTAAAAGATTCATCAAAGACATCATTTTCGTGATTTCCTCAAAGTGTGGTTCAATTTTGGTGCATAATTCTGTCTGGATTCGAACCTGATCCCAATTTAGTTTTGCATTTTGGGTTAATATCGCTGCTTTTTTACTAGTTACTGCATATTAAAATGTTGGTCTGATTGGATTTTATTCGGTTTAATCTCTCTGCTGGAAATTTTTGATTTTGTAATATTCATGTTATTATGATCATGTAAATATTGGGGACTGTGTGTGCTGCTGTTTATTTTCTTGTCACGTTGAAATCAGACCTAAATGTTTATCCCGTTCAATGTGATTTGTATGTTGTGACTCTGCCGGACTTCTGCTTTAATTTGTAACGCACATGTGACATTATTTGACTCGTGTTAAATGTGATATTATTTGACTCGTGTTTTCTTTCCCTACTTTATGTTTTCAGTCTCATCTTTCTAATAGAACAACAACTATTTTGGAATAAATTAACTATTTTTTTTTTTCAAAACCGACTTGTTCCAAATGTGGTATTATTTCCGCATTTGGTTCGATGCGAGTATGAGAATGAACTCGAAATCCAGAGTCTTCTTGGAAAAAAATTAGAAGAAAAAAATTAATACATTGTAAAAAAAAACAATTAAGTTGAGAATATAAGAAACTTACATATTCTTTTATGTTTGCCGGTGTTTCACGGTGTGATTCTCCCATCTACAACGGATGGAAATATCCTTCATCTTCACATGTCTACTGCATTAGACACATTGCGCAGAACTTCATGTGTGAGATTAATGACAAAGAATTACGCAAAAAAACTTGTTAACATAGGTAACAATATAAGTTTCACTTACCGCATATAGTTATTTATTTTTATTTTATTTTTTATAACACTTTTATTACAGGTTTTGCATTGAGAGACGGTATTTAATTATTATCACGGTGAAATACGAAGAACAAATATAAAGGCTTTAAGGTGGATAGACAACATCCCCTAGGAGAATGGACAAGGGAGTATGACGAAGGACAATGTTGGGGATACATGACAACTAACTTGGCAGAAGCAATGGACTCAATACTTAAGACAACCCGAAACCTTCTGGTCGCTGAATTGGTCTAGTCTACGTACTACTGATTGAGATCACTCTTTGGTAAAAGATGCCATCAGTGGACAAAAACGTTGGCTTTTTGGCAAGTTTTCACACATAGCGGCAATAAGGGAATGGTTGAAGAAGTGAGTAAAGTTAACACTCATAATGTCATGCAATTTGATCGCAAAAGGTTCTATTTTATGGTCCATGAAAAAATTAATCAGAATGATGGTCGGCCAACAAGTACTTTCAGCATTGACCTTAGGAACTAGTGGTGCGATTATGGGATATTTCAAACATTTTACTTACCTTGTTTCCATGTGATTGCAACATGTTCTAGTAAACGTTAGGACTACTTCATCCACATATCGGACGTGTTCAAAATTCTTAACGTATTTAAGGTCTACAAGGAAAGCTTCCTTGGACTTTCCCATGAGGAGAACTGACCACGATATGAAGGATTTACTCTTTGCCACGATAAATCTATGAGAAGGAAGAAGAAAGGATGCCCAAACAGTACCTGGATTAGAACCGAAATGGACAATGTTGAAAAAAAAAGAGAAGGTGTAAGATTTGTTGTGAAATAAGCCACATGCATAGAAAATGTCCAAAGGCAGCAGCCCTTCTAGATGATTACGCTTGTTTTTTTAGATCATCTTTTAGTTAAGTATTTAGTTATCTAATGTAATGTCTTTCTAATGTCTATGGAACAAGCAGTAAGAAATATATTTAATATTAAAGACTCCCGATTACGGAGTAGAGTAACATCAAAGAAAATTAAAAATGCTTCTTAATAAACTAATCAACAACAACAATCAACACAAGTAGACCTTCAATTCCTTTGTTAACTTCACCACTATGTGTTGAAAACATACAATGGTCATCTAAATTATTTTGTATACGATCCAAGTAATACATGTATGTACCTTCATGGCTAACATCAATCAACGTTATATGTGGACAATGGTACTCTACTTTCCTCACCTTTATGCATCGACCACCCAATTGTAAAAAACTTGTCTTAATGACTACTGTTCTGGACTGAGAAAGGGGCTGACCCACCGTCGGGCACGGCTAAACCCAGCTCCCCGTCAAGGAGGGCCCAATGAAGGTCCAATCCTACAATGCCCACAAGGAGCTCTCACACGTCTCCCCCACGCTCTCCATGTGCTCCCCATGCGGGGACACATCATCATGCAACTACCCACCTCCTGAAGATCACAGGGCAGTTGACTCAGAACGAAGACCACGCGCTGGTCTTCCCTACGCCACGAAAGCCCTAACAGTTACTCATATTGGGTCTAGCAATCCAACCCAATGCTAAGTAATCGTTGACCCAGCGCAGGTAGCATATTATAAATACTCTCTTTCACCAAAGGGTTGCTCTTTCTACTTCACCTCTTACTTTGGCATCGGAGTACCTTGCAGGTACACCCTCTTCTCTTCTCTACCACCGACGAATTAAATAGTCTAAGACGTGTTATTGGCTGTTGATCCCTTTTCGATCTGGTAAGATCAACTACAATTAATGTTCTGAAATTTCATTGCAGATCTAGACAAACACTCATTTTTTGTCTTACTCATAAAACACAAAAGCCCATGCAAACATGTTTACAAAAACAATTTGCTATGTGAGATGAATTATGTTTTTTCACATCAGACAACTTATAAAAAATCAATATATGAATACTCGACCATTCATTGGTGAATGTTCTACTAACATAGACATCCATTCACCAAAGAATGACATGGGTGATTAAAATATTATTTAAATAATACAATTATATTAAACAAATATTTTAAAT